ACTTTCTTTATAAGGCAGTGAAATTAAGGCAGCCCATTTTGTTCCAGGACAATATGTAGATTTACAAGCACCATCGTAAGTAAGACTTAGATTTATTTAAATTATTGATCCTTAAATTAATTAGTTCTTAATTTATAAATTTCTTAGAATTGGTAAAGGGTTTGCAGGTGTTATGAAACGATGGGGTTTCAAAGGTCTGCCTGCATCACATGGGACTTCAAAAACTCATCGATCAGCTGGTTCTACAGGTCAAAATCAGGTAGATCCACGCAGGTTTTACATCATTTCCAACCACGATTTATTTTACTAATATATGTGATTATTGTTAATAGAGTCCCGGTAGAGTTTTTAAAGGCAAAAAAATGGCAGGTAGAATGGGAGGAAATAATGTAACTGTAAGCACCAAAATTCTCAAAATCGATAACGTCTTAAATTTAATATATGTTAAAGGACCTGTACCAGGATATAAAGGTCAATTTATTAGAATTAGAGATGCTATTAAGAAACATGGAGCAAAATGTTTTCCACAAGATTATTTACCACCGCCATTTCCTACTATTGCACCAGAAATATTAAAAACTATGCCCAGAGAGTTAATAGCTAAAAGTGGTGGTGCTGATCCTTTCTCAGTTAAAGAATCTTGATATTCGTGCATATAGTTTTATTTGTATAATCAAAAAAAAATAATAATAATATTTACATATATAAAATTTGCTAGAATCAATAATTTTTATACAATACTGGTACAACTTTCCAATAAAACAAAGGAAATAGATGGTATTAGAAGATGAATAACTCAGTTGGTTATGACTCACGCATGTTATGGTAGAACCTGACCATGGCATACTTCCCACTTCGGGCAAAAAACATCTTGCCTTCTGTAACCGTAGTTGCTTTACTGAAACTTGCAAATTTGCAACTTTAATGCTACTTGTAATTACCTATAAAGTAACTATTTAGTTATTTGTAGTAATTACACTTTATGTTTACTATAAGTTAGCAATACGCCTACTACTACTTACTACTACGTTACTACTATTTTACCACTATTTTACTATACTTTTACTATAATTTTCATAAAAAGTTTTAATAAAATTGTAGTAAAAATATAGTAAAATAGAAGTTTTCTAAAAAAATTTAAAAAAAATTTTAATAAAATTATAGTAAAAGTATAATAAAATAGTATATAGTAAAATAGTAGTAAAATAGTATATAGTAAAATAGTAATAAAATAGTAGTAACGTAGTAGTAAGTAGTAGTAGGCAGGCGTATTGCTAATTTATAGTAAACGTAAAGTGTAATTACTACAAAGTAACTATATAGTTGTTTTATAGTTACTTTATAGCTAATTACAAGTAGCATTAAAGTTGCAAATTTGCAAGTTTCAGTAAAGTATATATCTGGTATAAAATTGTAAAATTACGAGCATGGTTGACGATCCATTTGATTGGCTAATACGTTACACGAAATCTACATATACTTGAATATGAAACGTGCTACATTCGCTCATATACAAACTAGTCACCCTACATATTAAGTATATATGAAACTTTATGGTCGCTTTAGTTATTTGTTCTTCTATATACAGGAAAATTTAATCAAGTATAATCAGATTCAATGAAGACTTTTATAATACGGGTATTTTCAAAAAAAATCGCAGTTTAGCGGGTTTAGTGAAGTTCTACCTCATATTTGATATACTTACTTAGAGCTT